CAACAGCAACCCTCAGTTTGTTCTATGTATTTAAAAGTCTCATTTGGTTCCCTCATTTCTTCACCGGATTGCTTCTTTAGAAACTGAGATTGATGCTAGACTTTTCTTTGAATGTCACACCTTGGCCTGCTTCTGTTTCCAGGGATTCAGGAACGCGAAGCCAGGGTACCAAAGCTGTGTTCTTCCTCCAGTCTGCTGACACTTAACTGCCTGCCTTCCTCCTCCACCTTTCACAGTCCTCCTATGCTTGGACCTCATGCCATTTCCAGGGGTCAGGCATGCACTCGACCAGGAGACAAGCCCACAGCATCTCATCCTGACAAGCCTGGGTTTGGTTTTTAGACTTCTGTCTTACACTGGGGCACACACAAGGACTGTTACTTCTGGTATTTCTAGTGTGCCTTAACTGGCAATTTTGTTAGTGTGCTAAGGCTGCAAATAGGATTTTAAGGTTGGCTAAGCTGGCAGGCCAGAGCCAAGTGTAAGATGCTTCTGTGACCCTACGCACCAGGATGCCACTCCATGACGTCCCAGGGCTCCGGCCACTGCCTTTCTGGGTCCAGTGTGTCTGATGTAAAAATGCACATCTTTCGGTCAATGCTCTTGAGGTGTTTTATGATAGTCCTAGCTTAATGGACCTCCTTTCTCTCAATATGGCATGACCACGTGTGTTGCTGAGGCCTGGGGTTGGCTGGCTCTGTTGGGACAGAGATTCTGAGTCCTCTGATCTTTCTGGGTCTTCTTCAGGATGCCAAGTTTGCCTGCCCCATTTTTCCATCTTCCTTCACCGCTCAATTATGACACAGCACCTCTTCCTTCTTGTTTGCCTTTCCCTCCTTGAAGTATCCATTTTAAATCATGCCTCTCCCTTTTACTCCCATCTGCCCTTTTGAATGTCCCTGTCTCCTGGGGCGCCTGGGTGGCCCAGTCGGTTAAGCGTCCGACTCTTCACTTCAGCTCAGGTTCATAATCTCACAGCTCGTGGGTTCAAGCCCACGTCGGCCTCAATGCTGGCAGTGCAGAGCTGGCTTGGGAGTCTCTGTCTCCCTACTCTCTGCCCCTCCTCTGCTCTCTCTCTCTCTGTCTCTCAAAATAAATAAATATTTAAAAATAAATAAAATAAAACGCCCCTGCCTCCTGATCTTAGGTTCCTACTGCTGTTGTGATAACTGGCACATGCTTAGTGACTTAAAACAACCCACATTCATTATCTTCCATTTCTAGTGTGGAATGTCTAAAATGGGTGGCTGGGCTGCGTTCCTTCTGGGGGCTCGCGGGGAGAGTCTGTGTCCTTGCTGTTCTAGCTCCTAGTGGCAGCTCCACTCCTTGGCCAAGGGCCCCGCACCCTCTGACCTCTGCTGTGGTCCTCACCCGTCCTGCTCCCAATCTCTGCTGTGCCTCCTACGCTTGTAAGGGTTTCGGTAATTAAGTTGGCTCCACTCCAATAGTCCCAGATAATGACCCACACAAGACGTTAGCTAATTACCACACGGTCTTTCTTGCCACGTAAGGTACCACATATTCCCAGACTCTGGAGGTTCAGGGCCAACCCTTTTAAGCAAGCACACTTTGAAACCCATTCCTAAGATCTGTGTCCTGATGGGCAGGACACATTAAAATATTTTCTGATTTCAGGGCGCCTGGGTGGCTCAGTCGGTTAAGCGTCTGACTTCGGCTCAGGTCATGATCTCACCGGCTTGTGGGTTCGAGCCCCACATCGGGCTCTGTGCTGGCAGCTCGGAGCCTGGAGCCTGCTTCGGATTCTGGGTCTCCCTCTCTCTCTCTGCCCCTCCCCTGCTCACACTCTGTCTCTCTCAAAAATAAATAAACATTAAAAAAATTTCCAATTTCAGCTGGATTTAATATTGGCTGTGGTATTTCCATAACTCTCAGGCTCCTTGACTCGCTGCCCTTTGCTTCACCTGCCCTTTTCCTGTGGCTGGTGAGGGTAGGAGGACAGCGGTGTAAGTGACTGAGCTTTTGGATTTGGTGAATTTTCTCTTTTGTCTCCCAGAGATTTTGAAGGCTGGGCATTGTCTTCAAGGACTCTTGAGAACCAGATTTCCATAGAATTTACTGTCCTTTTATTCTTTTCCCTTTGGGTTTAGAAGTTCTATTCGGAGATGAGTAACTAAGGTGCTGCCTTGTCCTCAGCAGACACAAGTGCCCTGAGGGCTTTGAATGCCCTGTCTCCAAAGTCCCTATCCCACATCTCAGTATCTGTCTCCCATCGTTCCCCATCACGGCCCTGTTCTGGCAAAGCAGGTGCACTGAAGCTGAGAATCCAATCTTCTCTAGTGCCGATGCTCTTGTGGTTATGGTGGACCCAATTATGTCCTTAGCTTTTTCTTCCCTCTGGCTCTAGGAGGTGTGAGTCTGCAATGTTGCCTGGATGTCCTCTTTCACACTTGACCTTGCAGGTGTGATTCATTGGTCTCAGTTTGCATCGTCTTTCTCTGAAAGGCCTCAGCCCAGCAACACCCATCCAATCCCATAGTTCCTGTAATTCCCAACTCATTTCCAGATTACCAGGGTACTCCCATTCTCTGCTCACATCATCCCAGGTCACCACTGTGAGGTTTTAGCAGTGACAATAGCAGGGATGGCTGGGCCCTACCCCTGCCCCGCCACCAGGCTGGGGACCTCTTGGCCAGTCAGCTGACTGAGACCCGGGTCTGTCTCTGCACCTTAGAGCTGGGTTTCCAGACCCCTCCCAGACAAACTCCGCAGGTCACCTGCCTTGGGAAGCAGCCTCTAAGATATACGAGAAGGGGGGATAGCTCACTGTGGAGCGCTGCCCGATTCACGTGCATGTGAGACAGGGAAGGAGGCAAGACTGGCAAAGGGAGATAGTGAACACAAGGCAGCACAGAAGAGTCATACTTGGGCAGAGAACAGGCGAGCCGGATGCTATTTTTGACTTTTTAAAATGGAGCGGAGGGGTGAAACCTCTGTACCCGCTCTTCCTCCAGACCTCTGCTGCAGGCTGCCCTCTAGAAGCAGGTGCAAACATGGGCAACGCACCTCTTTCAACTGAGTATAAGTGCAGAAGGCCACTCAGCTGGGACTTGCCATCCCCCAACACACCAGGGGTAAAAATGATGGGTCACCGCTCCTACCTCTAAGATTATCCCACATATTTCAAAAACTCATTTGAGTTTTTTTATCCTTTAGTATTTATTGTTGAGAGAGAGAGAGAGAGAGAGAGAGAGAGAGAGCACAAGTGAGGGAGAGGCAGAGAGAGAGGGAGACACAGAATCCGAAGCAGGCTCCAGGCTCTGAGCTGTCAGCACAGAGCCCGACGCAGGGATCAAACCCACAAACCATGAGATCGTAACCTGAGCAGAAGTCACATGCTTAACCAACTGAGCTACCCTGGCTCCCCTTAACTTGAATTTCTTGATGCAAATCTAAGAGCAAAACCAGTCATTATAAAAAGGCAAAGAATCTGCAGCTATGCATCCAGATACAATGATCTACGTCCAACAGAAAGATATCCTACCTGATGCTGGCACTGGGGTCCAGGTGGGCTGGATGGTGTTTGAAAGCCCTCCTGAGAGTTTCCTTGCCTCCCTCAGGTGTTGTCCAGCCAGCAGGTCTCCTGAGGTCAGGGCACTCTGAGAGCTCCCTCAGCACGTGAGAACATCCAGGCCTGAGTGTGGAACAAGCTGGGCAGACTTGCACCTCGGTCACCATGACACTGTCCTCACTGTACTCGAGGCTGGGCTGATATTTGTTGCTATGACCCTGAAAGGTTGAACACATCCTGGTCCAAAGACAAGGTCGCAGATTCATCCTACGGGACAGCAGTGAATGATTTCCCACTCATCCGACGACCCTCCGTAAACTATGAGCCTGTTCCCTTCTCAGAAAGAGACCATCAGACCTGCCCCATTGGGTGTGGGGACAAGTCAGTAAAGCTCACTTGCGTGTTGTTGAGTTCTCTTTGTCTCCACCCCTTCCCTCAGGAAGGACACCCGGTACCCTGAGAGGGGGTGAGCGAGATGAGGTACTTCTTATTCTGAATTCTGCCCCGAGCTTCTCCCAGGGGAAATTCATGAGCTTCAGAGTGTTGATGGGACCAGGTCTCCTCAGATGGAGTAAGTGGAGGCCTCTGGGAGTGGACTCCTGGATCCCTCTCTGATGCTGCCTCCTGTCCCTTCATTTCCAGATCGAGAACTGTCCACTCCACTCCTGGTGGCTCTCTCCTTGGGCCCCAAGCTGCTGCTGCTCGTCTCTGTCTCTGCCATCTATGTCCACAGGAAGCAACGGATTGACTGGTGAGTTATGGACAAGGAGGACAGGGCTAGGTCAGTCCCAGAAGGAGCCAGGTCAGTGGAAGGGGCAGCCTGCAGGTCACACAGGGTCAGCGCCCACCTGGAATAAAGAGCAGGTGACACACCTTTGTCAAAACCCTCAGGAACTTCGGGGATCCCTCTGGGAGGTTCCCAACTCCCAGAAAGTGTGTGGGGTCCTACAGGAAGTGGGGAAGGGGGGTCAAGGGCTGTCAAAAGATATGCACAGAGTCCTAGGGCTTCTGGTAAGGAAGTGGGCAGAGAGGCTGAATGAGGGCCACCTGGGTGGGATGATCCCTTGGAGAGCATCTCTCGATTATTTGGGCACTAGGAGTCCACAGGAATGCTGTGGAATGCTGACAGGTGCCCACTGGCTGCTCTGAGGACGGCTCCCGCTCTGACCCTCCGTGGGACAGACTGGAGAGGATGGGGAAGGGGGATCAGGACTTAGGGAAGAAGCCTGAGGAGGCACAGTCCATGTCAGGGACCGCCTGTCCTCTCACTACAGGTGACCCAGGAGGAAAATAGCACCGAGGACATAGGAGACACGGGGAGAACATTTCTGGAATGATGAGCAGATAATCAAATGTGAACATGGGTCCACAGCTCCTTCCTTCCTCCCCTGCTACATGCCATCCTCGGTCTCTGCTGCCTCCTTCCTTCCCTGAGGGGCCCAGCCTAAGACAAGGAACAACTAGAAGCTTCCACAACCCTGCCCCAGATGCCTGCTTCCCCAGAGACCCACCTGCCCACAGTTCCTGCTGCTCCTCTCCTAGTCCTTGATGCCCCCAGAGCTGGTCTTCATACCTGGTCCTGAGCAGGGTCCACGGGAACATGCTCTGGAAACTGACACACGGGTATCTTCCTAGAATGTGAGAAACAAGTCACGTGTACGTGTACCAGGCTATCTCTCATCCATTTCCTGGGGACCGTGGCCCCCATTAAGTACACACTCAAGGCCGTGCTCTCGTGGGCCATTCCTGCCAACCCCCAGACTCGCCAGCCTCAGTGAGGTTCTCCAATGCCTCCTGAATGCAAATGAATCCCATCCTGCGTGGAAGAAGAGAAATGATTCTCCTTCCCCTTTGCCTACATGTCCTTCTACTCAAAGTAGAGAGGTTTCCTTCCTCTCCCTGTGACGGGGACACCAGCTCCCCATTCAGCTTCATCTTTCCTGATCCCCCCGCTCATGTATAGGTGCTGGCAGTCCTGAAACCTGGACCCTTCCCTGGTTTCCTTCTTTATACCCCGTGTTCAATTCTGCCTTCATAATGCTATGTCCAGTGGTGACATGGTAAATGTTCAACAATCCATGCCCAGAAAGAAAAAGAAGACTGATTTGTAGTGCTTGTCCACTTCTGCGGTGTCTACACTCCCAATGCGGCCAATTTCAAGCTGCCAACAGTGGAACAACTAGCTTGCAAAATTCCTGGAAAGCTCTCAGGAGCGAGGGCAAGCCTCCTCCCGCCCACCAGGGAGCTCCACCCAGCACCTGCACACTGCTCGCTCCCGGGCTGCCCCCTGGTCCCGGCCACCAGCATCCCTTCCTGGACCATTGCCACGTGCCTAACAGTGGCACGTTGTCTCCCTTCTGTGCACGGCTCAGTCTCTCCCCCTTTCAGGCTCTGCTGATATGTCCCTTTACGAGAAGCACCTTCCAAAAGCCACCCCATGTAAAATACCAATTCCACTCTCACTCTGTGTTTTCACAGCTCATACCCAAACTGAGCTGTTTCCCTAGAACTTAAGATCAGCTGACACGATAAACAAGGCAGTGCTCGCTCTGCACGGTGATGCAGGACCCAAGCAATGACAGCGCAGCTGAAACCACGCGAAGGGATCTCAATAATCACTGGGAAGCAAAACAATCTTCTGTGTCCTTGAAAAACTTTTTTCAACACATCGGAAGTCCACCAACTGTCAGTTAGGAATGTATCGGGACATAAAAAAAAACCGTGAAACTATTATTCACCTTTTGAAATATTAGAAACGTTGAAAAGGGAAGAGTTTTATTTGTTTGCAAAGACTTATCAAGAGTAGTTTGCAGAGGGCTTGCCTTCCTCTGACGGCACAGTTTCCCATATAGAGCAGGCGTCTGGATTATCTCCCTCCTTTCTCACTTGGGATCAGCTTCCAACGCTCCACCCTTAGCGCTTCCGATGCTGTGAAATCTTTACAACATTAATGTGAATGTTTGCTGGCATCACTTCGTCCGGGACATTGTCACCCTACCTTCCTCCCCCACTTTCCTCAGCGACGTGGTAAGTTTATCCTCACTCTCCTCCTCTGGCTGCATATCTAGATGCTTGGGAACAGTATCCCGGGCCGCATTCCCATGAGGGTCTCTGTGCCTTCATGAACCCCACTCCCATTGAGTTTGAACTTCCCCTCCAACCCTCTCGTTTCTCCACTGCACTGTCTGCCTTGGGCCCATTCCCTTTTTGCCATCACTCACTTTTGCGCAATGTCACCCAGGTTCATCGCCGGGAGACCAGGAGACAACACGACCACCTGCTCTGCTGTTGCGGTAAACCGAGTGACAGAGTCACAGCGATCAACCCCTGTGGGCTTTGAAAGACGTGATGCTGACTTACCGTAATGTGCATCTGTTAGTTACGTAGGGACCTGTGGCTAAAGAAGACCCGGCGGGAACGTTTATACTCCATGCAATTGTTCGTGGTAAATTCCTTGGGGTAAATAAAACTGGAAGCGTGTGTCGAAGGACTGGCTGACATTTGTGCACATCGACACCATACGAAGCGAGAACTGCCTCCGTGTGTTCGTCTCTTCCGCAAGGAGGACGTCGACTCTGACAGAGAAGGGCCTCTGTGTCCTCAGTTCCCAGAACAACGACCGCCACGTCTTAAGCCATCACATTACAAAATGAATAAACCAGTGACTACTTCACGGAGGACCTCACTTTCTACTAGATGTCAGATTTTAAAATGAAATTGTGCTTTATTGAATCAGCTGGTGCACGTATGCAAAACCATTCTGTCAAACGCTGCTCTGTCTTCATTGTGTTTTAATATTATATCATAACATCCTCCAGGAGGCAAGCGAGCGGATTTTCAGGAAGCAAAACCGTAAAGCACAGGAACCACCCGGAAGAGCCCCCAGGGGCCAAAGCTGCAAGAGCCTGAGCGAAAAATAAGTGAAGTGGTACCTGGTTCCGGTGTGGCCTGAATGTTGGTGTCCCCACAAAATTCGCGTGTTAGAATCCCTCTGGCCCACGTGATGGTGTTAGAAAGGGGGGGGGGGGCTCTTGAAAGTGAGTAGGTCATGAGTGTTCCACCCTCATGAATGGGATCAGCCTTATAAAAGAGACCCCACCCCCCCCGCCCCGCCCCAGAGCTCCCGAGACCCTTCTTCCCTGTGAGGCCACAATGAGAAATTCTATAGCGGGCCCTCTCCCAACCATGCTGGCCCCCTGATCTCAGACTCCAGCCTCCACAAGCGTGAGCGAGATGTTTCTTTTGTTCAGCAGCCACCCAGGCTGGGATGTTTTGCTACAGCTGCCTCAACAGACTACGACTGATAAGGCCAATGTAAACTAAATATCAATGAGTCCATATTGCTATAAACAAATAACCAAACACATTAATAAATGGAGGGAAGGAAAACATGTCCTGGGCAGAAAAGTCCCAGATAATTTACGAAGATACTTCACTGTAGGGTGAGAAAGCCTAACTCCCCATTCCTGAAGTGTGGGCTGCTTGTGGTGACTCCCTTCCAAAGAGGACAGAATGGAAGGAGGAAAAAGGAGTAACTACAGTGGAGACAGTTGACCCAATCTCCCCAACAGTCATACACCATTGGTGACACTGTGCACCCTGGATGTAATGTGATGAAAATGGCATTTTTCCTCTGTGACCTTCCTCCCCAAACCCATCACCCCCGGCTGATTATGAGAAAAGTATCGGACAAACGGCAAAGAGGGACACTCCACAACATACCCGAGCGGCGCTCCTAAAAACTGTCAGACCATCATGAACAAGCAAAGTCTAAGAGGCTGTCCCAGCCAAGAGGAGCCTAAAAAGACATGACAAGACAGTGTAATGTGGGATGCTGCATGGATACATGGTTAAAAACTAAGGAAATCTCCTCTGGACTGAATGTCTGTGTGTCTCCAAAGTTCACGTGTTGACATTCAATCCCCAGTGCGATTGGATACGGAGGCGGGTCTTTGAAAAGTTAATAAGGTCCTGAGTGTGGAGTCCTCATGAATGAGATCAGTGCCCTTATGAAAAATACCAGATGGACAGCTCCCCGGGTGCACCCTGTGAGAATACAAGTAGTGGGCGCTCTACAAACGGAAAGAGTGTTCTACAAACAGAAAGAGTGTCCTACAAACGGAAAGAGTGTTCTCATCACAGCATAATATCCTAGCACCCTGATCTCAACTTCCAGCCTCCAGAATTGTGAGAAATAATTTCCTGTTATTCAAGGCATCCAGTTTACGGCGTTTTCTTATAGCGGCCCAAGCTAAGGCAAAATCTAAGTAAACTATGGACTTTCTTTAATAATAACGTACCAATATTGGTTCATTAATTTTAACGGATCCACCACACTACTGTGAGAAGTGAATAAGGGGGAAACGGTGGGCAGCTGCGCCTGGAAACGCTGTATGATGGTCACAAGTTTCTCCAAATTTCAAAACTGAAGTCCATTAAAAAAAAAAAATCCCAAGGGGCACCTGGGTGGCTCAGTCGGCCGGGCGTCCGACTTCGGCTCAGGTCACCATCTCACGGTGCGTGAGTTCGAGCCCCACCTGTGCTGACACCTCAGAGCCTGGAGCCTGCTTCGGATTCTGTGTCTCCCTCTCTCTCTGCACCTGGGCCCCCTTGTGCACCGTCTCTGTCTCTGTCTCTCTCTCTTAAAAATAAATAAACATTAAAAAAAAAAAACCTCAACATCTTGTCTTCAACTTGATCTCTGCCTCTTGCATGCTCTTGGGGGACACTGGAAAGACGTAAGGGGTGGGGAGATTTTTCATTCAGGCAAGAGATGATGATGGAGATGGAGAAATAGATTCAGCAGGTATTTAGGAGGTAAAACAGGGCCTGTAGCAGGCAGACAAGAGTGGACAAGTGAGGGTGTAGAACACGGGTCCCTTTCTGGTTTGGCCAAATGGGTACAGGATGTGCCACGTACCGAACAGGATGGAAGGATGGCAGAGAACACCCGAGTTGAGACTACGAACTCAGTTTTGAATCCTTGAGCTCTACAAATGAAAATTTCAACGTCAAAGGATGTATAGGTTGAGCCACCAAGAAGTGGATTCAGGATTGGGAGCTTGACTGCATCTGGTTGCAACTCCAGCGCTCTTGACCTTCAAGGCACTAAAAATCCAGGTCTCTGAAGAGTTTAGAGTCTGCTGTAAAGTATGAAGTCCACCAGAGGTGAACAAAAGGGTAAGAGGCTGGGGACTGAAGGAAAGATCCCGTTAATCCCTCAGCAGGAACCATGGATGGCCTCCCAGCATGGAATTCATCTTTCCAGAACAAGGTGACGGAATGGTGACATCACAAAGGGAGGGGGAGTCTTGTCATCTCGTACAGGACGTTCAGCCCGCTCTGCATTCTCCTCTTGTTCTAACACCTCTCTTGGCCTTAACATCCTGTCGATCCCGAAGAGGAGGTGGGGCTCCCAAGGAAGCAGTAGCGAAATAGCCCTAGCCGTCAGCATGTGACTACGGATTCCTGGACATTAAAGGGTCAACGGCGGAGCGTGGGCTCAGAGTCCCTGGAGACAACCTGTGTGCTTGGGTAGAGCGCAATCCAGTGGTGAGAGAGAAGGAAGCAAACGTGCTGGGTCCTCTCTCTTTCTGAGAGTGTATCTTGTGTCCCTCCACTCCTTTCCTCCAGAACCGGCCCAAGACCCAACACAGACAGCAGGACAGCCCTCCGCTGCCCAGGTATGTGTCTAGGTGTGTTGCTTTCCCTCTTGCAGAGTATCGCCCCAGCCCATCTCCCCTGTGACTCCCTCCATCTTCTAAAGCACACATCTTCACAATCTCCAAAACTCTAACCTCTTTCCCACACCGTATCTCTGGGATCTGTAAACTGGCAGGTGGGCAGGTTGGCGAGAACCTCAGATGGGACGAGGCTCAGGAATGAGCACAAGCCTGTGGGTGTCAGGCCCTTAACTCTGGGAACCCCAAGCATTTCCAGCAGCAACTTCTCAGCTTACAGCCACCTTGTCTGTTCAGCTGATCATCTAAAAAGTGTTACAGTCCCATGGTCTTTCCTCTCATCACAATCCCCTTCCTCTGACATCATGGAAGCAGGGAGTGTCTTCTCTCCTCAGAGCACAGAGTCCCGGACCTCTCCAGGACAACACTCAAGACAGAGAAGGCTCCAGGGGCCACGACGATGCCTGTCCTTTCCTCCCTACACTGCCCAACTCTGCCATCCCTGCTGCTGACTCTGCTTCTGGGATTCACAGGTGAGTGGGGCTCAGGTGTGTTTTGTGGGGGGCTCCCCTATGCCTGTTTACTGTGTTCTCCTCACCTATTACCCTAGAATTTCTTGGGGGAGGGTTTTTCTGTCCCAGCCAGAATTTA